ACCAAGGAGGAGGAATTTGGACTCCGATTTGTCAGACAGGGAGCACTGGACTCTACCGTGCATGGAGGACTCATGAGCAAAGCAGAGCGTGGATGTGCCTGTGGATTGCCAGCAAAGCAGCAGATAAAACGTGTTTGGGGCACCTTGCAGTTACGCTCTGGCAGCTGGAATGCTGTCTTGGGCACAGGTCCTGCTGCATTTGAGGGCAGGTATAACAAATGCCCTTGATTCAGCCCTGTATAAAGATCCTGAACAAAACAGTAGACTTTGGGAGAGGATGAGGGGACTCAAATGCCCTTTTGACCTGGCGATATAAATCCTGACATCTCTGTACCCGTATTTCAGAGGCCTTTTTGTGTGGGAGCAGAGAATGGATTTCTGCACCAGTGCCACGGGGCACGGTCTTGCTTTCAGATCTGTTTCCCAGGGCTAGCTATGATAAGGACGGACAGGACTGCTCCCAGGGTTCAGATATGTGTATTTTCACTCCAGATACGGGGCCTTCAGCACAGTGTTCTGATGACCGGGTAGGCACAGATGAGAGTGTGAATGACAAAGCTATTTCCCCGGGGCCCTTCACTCAGCTCAGTTTGTGAATCTTGGTGCTAGGAAGCTGGGAGGAGGAATTTCACTGCTCTTTGCTATCGCCCCCCACTTTGCTATATGCATCCCCACTATAGATCCACACTAGAGATCCCTGGGGCTAATCTATTAGGAACCGCTCACACTGCATTTGCAGGGTAGAAAAACAAATCACCCAGTAGCAGTGATCCAGCTGTACTCCCTCCCTCTTTGTAAATCTCCTGCAGCCCAGAACTACTGCTGCTGGGACCTGAGAGAGCAGATCTTGGTAGCTGTGCCCCAAAACACATATCCCAGTGCACCAAGGGGGCTGGGAATTGACTTTGTAACTAAAGCCGAGGAGCAAAGCCTGCTGCATCCCCGGTCTGAGCAGCGAGCATAGACTAGCCCGTGAATGTGACACCCAGAGCTCCAGAGTTCACATTCTCCCACGCTCTGGTGATGTCCTAAGGTCCGCTGCGGACAGCTCCTTCTCCATGCCCAGTCCTCATATCCCACGGTCCCAAAGATCAGTTCTATTCCGAATAAAAGCTATCATGAGAATAAAAGAGCTAAACTGCCAGCCGCGCGCAAGTGATACCAGCTCTGTAGCTCCCTCACATCAAATACAATCTGTAACCTTCTGTTACAAAATGCTGAAGTTTGACAAATTCAAATGAGGAACAATCCTATTAATAAAGAGGGTCACACACTAGAGCAATTTACCTAGGGAGGTGTATTCCCTGCTGCCTGAAGCCTTTATATGGCTATATTTCTAAAAAGACAAACAATAGTTCAATCACAAGTTATGGGCTTGACGCAGGAAATGAAATTGGTGAAATTCTCTGGCCTGTGTTATGCTGTAGGTCAGACTAGATGATCAAAATGGTCCCTCTGGCCTTAAAATCTGAGAATCTCACAGCTTCCTTGATGCCTAGCAGAGATCAGCCTCTAACAGAGGAGCAATTCAGTGAAGCCAAACACACACAAGATGTGTCAACGAGGAGCAGGTAGTCTCCTTCCATCTGGGGATGTGAAGCGAGTTGCACCCGATCCCCTCTGACTCGCCTTGCAGATGAGGATCTATCTGTATTTTCACAACATCTCAGGCTTGGCTGCTGCGATACAGTGCCTCTAGGAATGAAGCCGTCTGCTCTCAGAGTGCTCCAGCTAGTTCTGAATGCAGCAGTCTGCTCACCGACTCAATCTGCCGTGAACGCATCACGGTGCATTTCTGTGCCCCACCTTAGCTCTCTCCTTTGAGCACGGAGTCCGGTTCAAGGTCTCCAAGCCAGTGTTCGGAGCCCAGCATGGGACGGGCCCCCGTGACCCAAGTGATCAATCACCTCTCCCTATGCAGTGATGACCTCACATGACAGATACGTTCCAGGGGAACAATGAAATTGCCAACCAGTTTGGGGAGAGGGGGAAGGGATGAAAGAAGGGTAAAGAGCCTTATGACCTGAGGAACAGAACATTCGCCGGAGCTGGGCCAAGATTACGAAACTTACTGCCAGCTGAAATAACGTTCGCCATTAGCAACCCCGCAGCACCGAGCTTCATGCAAATCCTTCCTTTGCCTGGCTCCCCCACAGCACTGATCCCACTTGAAATAGTAATAAAAAATCAAAACAAATCTGAGGAGGAGGATGCACCCTTCCTCACAGAAAGAGCGCATTAGATTGGCTGTCATTTTTAACTCCCTGCCAGCACTAGGGGCTTTGGTGACAGCCACCGACACGAGATTATAATCCGGGACCACGCAACCCAGCAGCTATCTCCAAGCACTGAGCGGCCTGAGCTCAGGCACCAGCAGCGAGACCCACATGCACTGTCTGAT